GACTTTGGTCCAGTCCTGGATCCACCCCTTCCTGGGTGTGGTCTGCAATGATGAAATGCTGGAACTTTGTCAAGCTGCAGTAGTTGCCTTGAGGTCCACCCCACACCTGGGTACATATTCTTGGGGACATCACTCTCCTTCTCTGAGCTTCCTGGTTCCATACACAAAAACTATTCAACCCATTTAGTTTTGAATAGGTCTTGCCGGGCAGTGGTGGCACATGGCTTTAGCCCCAGCACTCGGGAGGCAGAGGCAGGCGGATCTCTGTGAGTTCGAGACCAGTCTGGTCTATAAGAGCTAGTTCCAGGACAGCCTCCAAAGCCACAGAGAAACAAAATAAAACAAAAAAAGAATAGGTCTTGCTATGTGGCCTGTCTGGCCTGGAATTTGCCATCTTCATCTCACAGTGGAAGCCATAGTTGGCCCCTATAGCTAGGGTCCAGGACCAAGGCAACTGGGATCTACTTCTTGCATTCTCCTCTGACAACAAAGCTTGCCAACCTCAGAGCCAATACCTGGGACAAGGGCTGGCAAGATGGCTCAGTGGTAGGTGTCTGCTGCCTGAATCAATCAGTAGGAACTACATAGTGGAAGCAAAATTAATTCCTAAAAGTTGTCCTCTGACCTCCACACATGCACTACTCCGAGTGTGTGTGTGTGTGTGTGTGTGTGTGTGTGTGTGTGTGTGTGTGTGTGTGTGTGGTGTGGACATTAAAATACATTTGAAAAAATATAATTCAAAGTTAAAAGAGCACAAGATAGCTATGGCTGGTCTATGTAATGATGGTACTTGGGAGGCTGAGACAGACAGATTGACACAAGTTTGAAATGAGCATGGACTACAGAGTAAAATACTCTGCTTCAAAAAGAGGAGGGAGGGCTGGAGAGATGGCTCAGTAATTAAGAGCACTGGCTGTTAGTCCACAGAACTGAGGCAAATTCTCAGCATCCACACGGTGGCTCACAACCATCTGTAACTCCTGTTTCAGGGGATCCAATGTGCTCTATGGACACCCCCCCAAAATAAATCTTAAAAGTAAAGTTAAACATGGTGTCAGGACTCCCCCAAGCCTGGGTCTGGTAGCAGGTGTCTGTGAATGGTTGTTTCTCTGTGTATGAGCTATCCTTCTTTTTGTCTGGGAAAGCCCCTCAGTGTGTGCCTCTGATGGCCAGTGACAGTACTCCCTTCAGGGCACTGGCGGATGCAGTCTACTTGCACCTTAACACAGACTAAGTGACAGAGCTTGCCACACTCCACACTGGAGAGCTTTGCCACCCTATGTAAAGATGTTCCTTGACCTTGGGAATAGAGGGGAGTTTACTGAGAAGCTGGTCTTAATTTCTGACTTGTTGAAAACTTTTCCTGAACAGAAGGAGTCGTGGAAATTGTGCAAATTCCACTTGATTATGGAGCAGAAGCTGAAAGACATCTCAGATGAAGTGGGAAGCAGTCTGGGTGGACTGAGCATTTCACAGTAGATTTTCTCCCACAGTTTGTTTGTTTTGGTTAAAAAACAAAAAACAAAAAAAAAAAAACCTTTGAAAGTGTTTTGTTTTTGATCATGTTGTAGATGGATACAGGTTCCTGCAGCTGCCAGGCAAGCACTCTACCTGAGCTATATCCCCAACCAGAAGGATGGCTTCCACCTCCTGATCATCCTGCCTCAGCTTCCCCAGTGCTAGGAGTCTAGGAGTCTGCCACCAAGCCCCACCCACCACAATTTTTAATTTATAACCACACTTATCTCTCCACAGTTTCTGAATCATCAGGGCTAAGTAGGAACTTCGCCCCTGAATGCAGGTAATTAGGCAGCCTTGGGAAAAATCTAAGATTTTTTTGACAGGCATTTAACGGATTCCATTCTGTGAGCCAACCACAGCTTTTCCAATTAGGACTGCTTGTCTCTCCATAATTTGGGGGTTACTGTAGGTCAAAAAACAAACCTCACAAAACCCCAGAAGACAGCAGAAGGCGTTCAGGCAAGATTAACTGGAGACCGGAGCCACAGACTAGACATCGGATGCAAAGCACTCCTTGGGAAGATCGCCTTTGCCAGCGCATTCAAAGGAAATGTGTCCCACTCTCCAAAGTGGGCAGCCTTGCCAACACTACGGGGAGAGGAAGCTCTCTTTCATGTCTGTAGGCTTATCCCTAATGGCTAGGGAAGTAGCCGCTGCCAGGTTAAGAGAAGCACAGGATTTGGGAACTCTTGAGTGAGATGGACATCACCATCACAGCCTAAAAAGGACAAGGCCGGCATTCTGCTGCTCATTGCGGATGCAGCTGGGGCAGAGAAGCAGGGTTCATCCACTGTGGCAGGCTGGCCACAGGAGATTATGCCCCCACTGTCAGGCCCTCCAGCCAGTCTCAGTCAGCAAATGATAATGAACCCTCACATTTCTCATGGCCCAGAGAGGCAGACCCATTACTCTTCTGGTGTGATTTGCAGTCTTGTTGACTCTGTTTAGGAGGCACAGTCTTGCTTTGCAAGCCAGGTTGGTCTGGAACTATATAGCCCAGGCCAGCTTCAAACTCACAGAAAACCTCCTGCCTCGGGTCATTGGAAAGAGCTGGGCTTAGTTGTACATACCTGCAATCCCAGCACTTGGAAGGCAGAAGCAGGAGGAATAGAACTTTGAGGTCAGCCTGGATCTGTCTCATTAAAAAGAAATTAAACACACACACACACACACACACACACACACACACACACACACACACAGAGAGAGAGAGAGAGAGAGAGAGAGAGAGAGAGAGGATTACTGGGAAGATTTATAATCCTTTTTCACAGATGTTGCAAGCTCAGGTTCAGAGAATCAATGACTGGCCCCATGTCAAAGTGCTAGGACCAGACCTGCAGAGCAGGGCTTCTGTGGAAGTTTCCATCCCAGCCTGCTTTTGTTTCCAATGGACACATTCTTCATAGGCCACTGCTCACCAATGCTTCCTCTGCCTGGCTATGTAGGTGAGAAGGCGGAGGGCTGGGAGGAAGATCATCTTGCACACGTCCTCTGGGGTGGGTAATCAGAAGTGTTTCTTTTCTCATGAGAGTGATCCCTGGCTGTCCTGTGGAAGCAGGAGCTGGTGACGATGGATGGAAACTAGGTAAAGATCTCAGGCCAGACAAATGGCAGTGCTACGGCAGATTTTCCACTGTTGAAAGAAACATCACAATTCCCTCAAAGATCTCCTTGCAGAATGCCCACCCAGCTGTGAAGGAAGCAGGAATAACTTGCTGTGCACAGGCAAGTGAGCGATCTCTGGGCAGCCACATGGGAAACTGGGCTGAGACTGGAACAGGGAGGGGAGGGCAAAGCCAACGGGTGGAAACTCAGTGCAGAGTGGAATCCAAACCAGGAGCAGTACACTTGACACACATTCAGACAGAGGGTGCCACTGCAGCTGGACAGCCAGCGGCGGCCCAGCACTGCCATGCTCTCCTTGGGCACAGCCCCCTTAGACGGTTAGGAAAAAAGAGCATGTCCCTCCACCTGCCTGAGTGAGAAGAGAGGTGGCTGGGAGGGAAGCTCAGGCTCTTTCTTCGGGTTCCTTCTGTTTTCTGTCAGCAGTAGGGAAAGACATCCTAGCAAATGACATTCAGCAATGCTTTAATTAACTACAGTATTTTGTATTTCAAGATGCAGCAAGAAATCAATTCCAGATGGGCAAAACGAAAGACACACCAAAGAATGGTCCTTTTATTTGAAAGAAATTTACATCTCCCAAAGGTGCAGAACTCTGCGGTCCAACAGGCTTTGTTGATGGACAGTTAGGATGGGACTGGAAATTTTTATTTCATACGTAAAATGTAATGGTTCTCTCCATGTCTGCTGGCTTTTCACAAGCCTGTTTCCAAGGCTAATGCTTAAATGGCCCAATGTAGTCAGTCCTAAGAGTTTTATTTTTGGGAATCCAACTTGGAGTAGACAATAAGTGTGGAACTCGCCTTCCCCCTCAAGCAAGCTAAGGTTATTTTGAGACTTCTCTTCCTAGGGAGAGGAATGATATTTCCAGCTGCGCACTTCTGGCACTTCCTTTAGCCTTCTGTAAACAGGGAGCCAGGCTTCCTTGTCCAACAGCGACTCAGGATGGGCCTGTGTAATGAGTCCACGTCAAGCAGCAGCCAGGACCCGTGCTCTCTGTGCTCAGTTGTTGGATCTTCACCTTAGAGCCACTTGAAATGTATTCAAAGTGGGTAACTTTCTGGGTGCTGGGCAGAGTCTTGGTGCTGACTCTGTTCTGCCAGAGAGGAATTTTCTTTTTATTGACAGTCGAGCCCAAGGCTTTGCACCTGCAAGGCTCTGCAAGAGGCCAGGGTTCTTTGTGGTTCCTGCTTTGCAGGTATAGTCTAAACAAAACTTTCTCAAGTCTGGCCCCTCTAAGCCAGCTACCTGTCCTAACAAAAGAGCTGCAGAGAAATCTTCACTTTTTGTTGTTGTTTTTTGTCTTGTTTTTCTTCGACAGGGTCTCTCACTGTGCAGCCTTGGCTTGCCTGGAACTCACGATGTAGACCAAGCTGGCCTCTAACTCAGAGGTCTGCCTATTTCTGCCTCCCCAGTGTTGGAATTAAAGATGTGCGCCATACACCTAGCTATGTATATTGCTTTGAGGTGACAAGAATAAATAAAGTTTCTGGCTGAGCCATGGCCATGAAAACAAGAAGAACCCTAATCACTATGGGAAGAGCCTAGCTCTAGGTACAGTCCTCATCTATACAAGCTTCAGAGGAAAGCTGCTAGCCACTAGAAAGGCTGTGCTGGTACCAGCTCAACTCTACAGCTACAGCCTTGTGTTAGACAGCCATAGAAACACACATTTATGAAAATGGGTTAGAAGACTCCTTTTAAAAGGTCCCTCCTCTTTTCAATGCAAGGGCTGACAGCAGGGAGTATGCATTCTATAGTTGGTCCTCTGTATCTACAGGTCATGCATCTGTGGTTTCAACCAAACGTAGTAACAATATTTGGGGGGGAAAAAAACCTGTTTGAACACATACAGACTAGTTTCTCAATTGTTATTAGTCCCTTAGCCATCCAGTGTAACAACTATTTCAAAGGTATGACAGTGCATATTTACAATGCCAGTAGTTGGGAGGCTAGCCTGGATTATGAGTTCCAGGACAGCCTGAACCACACAGTGACTGAGACTCTGTCTTAAAAACAAAACAAAATAAAACCACTACCAAAACCCCCAAACAAGAAATCTGCCCCAAACAAAAGAACTATTTATGTAGTATTTACATCACATGAGGCATTATGCATACTCTGGAGATATTTAGTGTCAACGAGAGGATGTGCTTAGATTATTCACACACACTGCCATTTTACAGAAGGGACAGAGCATCTGCATCGGGTGTGTGTGGTCCTGGAATCAGTCTCCCGTGGATACTGACAGCTTCTAAACACATACACACCAGGCCTCACTGCAGACTTACAGAGCTAAGCCTCCAGACATCTGCATTTTTCAAAGGGCCCCAGGGGACTCTAATGCATTCCCCAGGTGAGGAATAGACTGTCTGTACAGAACACACCATATTCAGTCCTCATCAAGAAGACATTTAACATAACTCCTACTGACATCTATCTGATGGCTCCTCGGTGATTACCGACAGTGCAATACATCAAGGAAGTAACTTTGCTGGCTGTGACCACCAACTGGGAGAAACAGCGGCTTGACATCTCAATGCCATCATAGAGATGGCTAGAAAACCAGCCTCTCATGAATGAACCAAAAAGAGAAGTATAATAAGCCGTGTGAATATGGTGACAGTAGCCAGGTGTGGGAGGAGCCCACTGGCTTCCTTAGCTCCCTTAGGTGGGTGGCAGGTGGCTGAACTGGCTGTGTTGTTTGGAGACAGCCTGATGTCTTCTTTCCAATAGGGCAAGCCACAGAAATACCAGACCCACAGAGCAGCACAGAGGAATGCCACCACTGAGCACCAGTGAGCTGTGCTTGTCTAAGTTATGATGCATCTTGACCAGGGGCGACACACCTTTTTCTTGCAACTTGTTTTCTTTCTGTTTAGAATTTCAAAATGCTCAATACATGAGTTACACTGTCTAGCAAGAATAGTTTAGATGCTGATGCTCAGTACCTAGGAGTTATACTGACTAGCAAGAATAGTTTAGATGCTGATGAAGAAAATGAGGCCCTAGGGCTAGCGGTGTACTTTAGTGGTCAAAAGAACAAAAAAGAGAAGAGAAAAAGAGACACAGGGCCCAGGACCAAGCTGAGCATTCCGGGTATCCAGAAATAACCAGATGAGTTTTTTGCTGTGGTGGTGATGGAAGGAATGGCACTGGGATCTGGAATCGATTCAAGGACCCAGATTTTACTGTCTTACTGGCTGACAAGTTTATACATACCAAAAGCAGTCACTAAAGGTGACACTGAGGCAGTGGCCATGTAATCGAGCCTTGGTTTCAAAAGAGCTGAGACAGCAGGATGATGCCTGCCCTGGCAGGTGCTCACTCCCTGGAGATGGGGTGATTTCCCCCTACAGAGCTTGATTTCAAGAGCTGGGAGTAGGCAGCATGGGCAGAACAGGGTTGGGCTATGCTCTGGGCTGTTCCAGGCTCTGAGCCTGGGGTGCAAGGTCAGTAACCACATTGCTAGGTGGCTTTTCACGGTAGTAGTAATGACGTGCCAATGTGGTGCCACCATGTCTCAGGGACTCTGGAAAGTACTCTAGACTTGAAATGTATGAGGGAGTGGGAAGTCAGGCAGTCAGACTTACTGTGTCTTCCTTCCCACAGCTTCTGCCAAGAAAGCCAGAGAAAGCCCTTCCAAGGGAACTTCAGAAGACAGTCTTCTCAGAAGACAGCCCCCTCCCTAGGATCCAGGAGCAAAGCGAAGTGGGCTGCACAATGTGTTTAAGTGAGCAGGGAGGTCTGCCTCCACACCAGCTCAGGAGCCCATCACAGGAAAGATATCTGCTACCCAGGCTGGGAAGTACACAGAATGGGAGAACATGGGGATAATTTGGCCATGTCATGGAAGACAGTAGATTTAAGTCCTAGAAAGCAGCAATAACATCAGACTTGCCAATCCTGGCAGGGTCCTGACAAAGAGAGGCCAGTATCCCACTCTGTCATCTGCCACTTGGTTCACTCAGGCCCCAAGTCCATTCCAGAGACAAGGAGGGGAAAGGCACCCCTGGTTGCAGAGGCTTTGACCTCAAATACAGAGGGAGGAAGGGGTGAGATCCAGGCTTTCTCAGTCAAGCTGCAGGCACAGGCTGGTAGGGCCTAGAGCTGGTGTGTGTGTGTGTGTGTGTGTGTGTGTGTGTGTGTGTGTGTGTGTGTCTGTGTGTGTGTGTGTGTGTGTATGTGTGTGTGCTGTGTGGTGAGGTGACAGAAGTCAGTGACAACTCAACCATCACAGGCAGCCTGGAGACAGAAGTGAGCCACATGGACCTTTCACCCAATGCTGCCCCAGCTTCAGGAATGGGAAATAATCTAAAGATGCCTTTTTATAACCCAGTTTCACTCAGCTTCTCTAACTGGCATAGAGACTAAGACAGGGTATGGGAGAGAGATTTTAATAACCGTAATACCCCAGAGGTTTGAAGATGGAGGACATAGAGTCCTGAGAGTGAGGGTTTCCAGAAATCAGTTGCTCAGAGTCCCTGGCAGTGTCTGTATATTCCTTACAGTCTCTTTTTAATCAGTTTCTCAAGTTTGCGGATGCGGGACGATTCCTGCTCTGGTGTTGGAGCCATTAGGGACAGTGTGCTGGAACTTTCTGTCCCTGAGGGTGGGGCAGGGAGCCTCTGCCGGAAAAGTTCCAGCATGCTGCTCTGCTCGCTTCTCTTCAGGCCCTGAGAGGAAAGGGAGAGAAGGGTGGTTAGGGGGTGGTTCCACAATGGATGGCAGGAGAGGAAGCACACCTTGGTCCTGCAGTTTGCCCAGCCTCAGCTCTGCTGGGCTAACTGCATAATGGCTAGAACCCTAGGACCTGGATTTCTTCAGGGCAATTACTGGTCTTAGACAGCAGCCTGGAAGATAAAACTGAGGAAGGAAAAGGGGGTGAGAGGGTAGGAGAGAAAGAAGGGTTGGAGAGAGAAGAGAGAAACAAACGCAGAGGGAAGGAAGAGCAATCCCCCTCTTCTTCTTTGCACTGCTCCACCCATCCTCCACGGGGCAGTGGCCCTCCCTTGGGCAGGGTGGTCCTAGGGATGCATGGCCAGGATCAGCCTCCGGGAAAGGCTCTTGGCAATCTGGGATGCAAGGTGAGGCCAGAAACGTGCATTTGGAGGCAGCCTCTCTAACTCTATATTCACATTTTATGCTCTAGGTGGATGGGATGTACATAACAAGAGAGCTTACCTTCATGTCCAGTATTTTCTGGAAGGTTTCTGTGTTGCAATCCGTAAGGAGTTTGATGTAGTTGTCAACAAATACCACCAATGGTTCATGAGGGGCCATCACCACCTACCAAGGAAGGAGACAAGAGTAGGTCCTTAGGAGCCCTTAGGCTGGAGGGCAGGCTCAGCTCTCCTTACTGGCCAGCTGACCATGAAGGGGCCTATTGCCAACTCCAAGCCCATGTTTGGAAATGTTCTGATGGTTCATTTACTTGATGTTCAATTAGAGCAGTATCCCCAAGAATGGCTGAGTCACCATTAGTGTCCAGATTGCTTTTTAACATATGGATCCCTGGCCCCCCAACACCTGAGGCTCCTGATTCCACCAGGAGGCATGGGAGAGACCATCTGCTGGGGGATTTCATGGGTGGTGGGAGGTCTCCACTCCTTCTGTCTGTTACTGAGAAGGGGAAGAAGTAGAAGGAATGGGTGCTCATAGATGTTCTCAGGAACAAAAGCCCCCAACTGGCCTTTCTCTTCTGAAGCCCTGAGACTTGGAACTTTGTTTGCCACATTCATGTAACTGCCAATTAATATGCAGACAGATGGCATCACCATCCTCACATTCGTTTCTGGTGGTTCGGGAATATGCTGATTTTTCTTCCCTAGTGGGCTGATTTTGTTTTGAATTCCTGAGAATGTACCAGAAAGTGGCAAGGAGCAGTTCCTTCAAAAGTCCTTGGCAGATATTTCCCAAAATGCATCTCTCCTCCCTTGAGCAAGCTAGCTGGGGAGGACAGCGGTGAGGCTGTTTGTAGTTTCCTCAGGCACACGCTGTAGGTTTCCCACAACCCTCATGCGGTGCAGACCCTGAGGCCTGCAGCCAGGCCAGTCCACTGAGCCTTATTCTCCTGTATCATTTGAGTCACTCTGGGAAATGGGCCTGAAGAGCCTTCGGGTGCTGGACTCTCAGCTCTCGTGAGAACAGAGCCTTTGCTTCCCAGCTGCCAGCCTTTTCTGACAGGCCCAGGTGGAGATCAGACACAGGCACTGCTCTACCAGAGCACCAAGCCCAATCGCTTGTCAAACGAGGCCTTAAAAAGCCCATTTGCCAATTAGATTCAGTTACTACAACATCTGTTCAGAGTTCACATAAAGGTGCCAAACATGGAAAGCCAAAGACTTCTGGGGAAGGGAGTGACAGCTGGGCCTAAAATTCCTGCTGAGAGGCAAGGGATCTCTCGGCTTTTCCCCTGATTTGCCACCTGACGCTCAGCTGGTAGCATTTATTAAACAGAACTCACCTGTCAGAAAGGATTGTGGATCCCCAGGTAACTGTGTACTGATTTTCAACATCATAGAGTGCGGACAACTCTTGGGGCAAGGGGGGACGGGGTAGACTCTGTGTTTGCAAAACCCAAATTTCCTGGAACAAGGGATCTAAGACGGGACCAGTCTCTTTGAACAGAGTCCCCAGAGAAGACACACCTTGAGGATCATTTCAGCCCGGGTCATGCCTTTCACGACAATCTTAGTGTAACTGGCAGGTGCCTTCCTCACAACCTGTGAGCCGATGGATGGGAGATCGAGCAGGACCATCTTCAGGGAGTGGGTGTCCAACAGCAGCTGCAGACCAAGCAGAGCGTTATAGACACTCTATGCAACAAGCACCTAGCGTGTCCACACTGAGCAGGTGTATGTTACTCACTGTACACACGATCCTTTCTCATTACAGAAAACTTGGAAAACAGCACTTTAAATGAAAAAAAAAATACAGTTTCCACTGTCCAGGAAAAGCTACTTCAAGAGACCGCAATGAAATGTGGGTATAGTTCCAGCTAGCCAGTGTGTGTGGATGAAAACCTAGTTGGAATCATACTGAGTGTTTGTATAGCTTCACACCCTGCCCTTTCTAGTAGACACACAAAGGGTTTGCATTTTATTTCCCATCATGACAGTCTTAAAAAATTACAATTTTTAATGGCCATGCAATACAGGCTATATTGTTTAAGTTACGGAAGCATTTTCTCACTTAATTTGCTCCCTAGATTTTTGACATTAGTAACAGATGCTGAGGGGCTGGAGAGACAGCTCAGCGGTGAACTGGTTTGGTTCCCAGCACCCACAAGGTGACTCATAGCCATATGTAACTCCAGTTCAAGGGAATCCTATGCCCTCTTCTGACCTTCACAGGCAATAGGCATATACATGGCACTCAGCATATAATCTAAAAAATAAAACAGTAACAAAGCCAAAAAGCCAGATGTTGAGGCAGACAGCCTCATTATGGATTCTAGCCTCATCAGTGGCACCTCCTTAGGGGGCAGTCTCTGGAACAGGCCAAAGCATAAGTTTATTTTGAAGATTACCAGGACATGTTTGAGCCTCTTTTTACCTAGAATGCACCTGTTTACAAAGCTGCCAGCATCATAGAAATCACAGACTGCACCCTCATCAGCACTGAAAAACTGTCACAAAAATCTTACTATTCATAAGGCAAAAAGTGGTAACTTGTTACTGCTATATTAGGATTTCTCTAGATGCTGTCTGATGACATTTTAACTGTATTTAATCATATCTTAGCAACATCCACTTTGTTTGTTCTGGTCTTCTTGAATGCCAATTATCTGGAAAGAGATCAATTTTCCTCATTGATCACCAATGGCTAGAAATGACACTAGAAGTTTCCTCACATTGTCTCTCTGAGGGTCCACCCTTAATGAGCTCATTGTTCCCAATTTTGTAGAAGAGAACACCAGTTTAATAAACAGTCACACATAGTTCAGGATGGCTTGATTAGATGCCTCTAGGCACTGATGACCAGGGGCACAGAAACGCCTGAGGCCACAGGCAAGAGGTACAGCTCAGTACCTCTTGAGCACTTACTTAGCATGAGATTGAGTTTGATCCCAAGCACTGCAAAAGGTGAATGAACAAAAGTGCCAAGAACGAAATGGCTGAAGTCAGAAAGGTATATCTTGATCTGTTTAAATGGTTTAAGAGAACAGAGTCACATATGGCCCCAATAAGATGGAGTTAGTAGTGGGATGACAAATCCCCTGACTACTACTAAACTTGGATGGTAGTGGTCAGGACATTCAGGACAAGGTATGATGACCTGTTAGACAGCCTTTCAGAATTATAGCTAGTTAGCCAGGAGTGGGATTTAAGGCTCTGACACTCTGTGCCCTCTAGTTTCCCCTGGATGGGAGAGTTAATAACTAAAGACAAACTAGCTACTGAGAGATACAATCATCTTAATGGTTATAGTGATTATAATTTTGACAATGTTACAAGGATTTGGGGAATGTTAATGCTTAGTTCATATAACCAAGACATATTACTTTCCATGGAGTGGAGTGGTAAAGAAAGTTAACCTAACAACAGGAATCTGATGAAGGAATATGGCTAGTCAAGGCCTAACCTTTCTGTTTGTGTATAATATATATGAGTGTGCACAGGCATGTGCATACCATGCCATGTGTGTGGAGGTGAGAAGACAATCTTCCACCTTGTTTGGGAGCAGTTTTGGTCATTGTGTACCTGGTGCCAGGCTAGCTGCCTGTGAACTCCCAGGGATTATCCTCTTTTGACCTCCTCTCCTGCCTTAGGAGGGCTGGGATTAGAGATGTGCACTACCATGCCTAGCTTCACATGTGTTTTGGCTATTTCAACTCAGGTCCTTCATGTTTTTGGTCAAGCGCTTTTGCCTTCTGAGCATCTCCCCAGCTCCAGAGCCTAAACTTCCTGAGTTTCTCAACTGTGGGGCAGCACAGTAGCCTCATTACACTTGTTTTAGAAGGCGTTAGGAAGTCAGGTGTGTGTGTGCGCGCATGTTTATGCGTGCACATTCACATGACTCCGTGTGTGTGTGAGGAGGCCAGAGGTCAATCTGAGAGTCTTCCACCTTATCTGACAGGATCTCTCACTGAACCTGGAGCTCACTAATTGTTTGAACTGGCTAGCAAGCCTCCAGAGTCTGTTGGGTCCCCAACCCTCCTAGTATTGGGGCTAAAGGCATTCTGACTTTCTATGTGGGTTCTGTGGATCCCAACTCAGGTTCAAGATGAATTCATACCACCATAGTGTTTGGTTTTTGGAAAAGCCATGCGTTCAGAGAAGTGTGTTCAGCATCTGAGAGAATGGCACAGAATACCAAGGCCCACACCAATAGCCCAGAGTTAGCATACTCCCCAGAGTCCTGTGGAATTTGCATTGCTGGCCCACATACCTCTAAAGAACAACTGTGCTGGATCCACGCTCTGGTGTGTGCACCCTACAGTTCCAGCAACTTGGGAAGCTCAAGAGAGAGGGTCACTTGGACCCAAGAGTTCAAGACTACCTTGGGTGAAATAGCAAGACCCTGTCTCAAAGGAAAAGAATGTTTATGTATAATTCCACATAGATTAAAAAGAAAAGTTTAAAGCACTTTCTTTGAGACAGGGTCTCATTATGTAGCTCTGGCTGGACTGGAACTCACTATAGAGGTCAGGCTGGCTTCAAACTTACTTTAATTTGCCTGACTCTGCCTCCCAAGTGCTGGGATTAGAGGCATTTGCCACCATGGCTAAAGATGGGGTGTGTGTGTGTGTGTGTGTGTGTGTGTGTGCGCGTGTGCGCGCGCGCGCGTGCGCCCATGAAGAATAGAGAAACATCAGATTCTCTAGAGCTAGAGTTACAGGTGGTTGTGAGCTGCCTGATACGGGTACTGGGAACCAAAACCCAAACCTCTGACAAGTGCTCTGAACTGCAGAGCCACCTCTAACAGCCCAAAAACTTTCAAAATTTTAGTAGAAAACACAGAGACTGTTTTTATTGCTTGTGGGTAGAAAAGAATGTCAAATATGGGAAAGATTGAAAAATATATTACTCTAAGTTAAGTTACATGAGACTCACAATAAAACACGGATCCAAACCATCCACAGGCTGGTGCTGCACTGACAAGGGAATGAGATGCCAGGCACATAAAGACTCCCACGGAGTGAGATGACCAGGGCTGGGTTTAGTTTAGTGCAACGTATTTGCTGAGCATGCACTCTGTCCTGGTTCTAACACCAGCACCATGCACACAAAAGGTGCTGGCTAAGAGCTCGTGGGGACAGACAGAATTAGTTCCAGCTCTTTGGGAGACCTCAGGAGTATTTTCTTACTTGAAGATCCACATAACCCATCTGGCATGGTGCTGTGCATCTATAACTCAGCCCTTGGCAGGCACATGCAGGAGGACTGTGGCAAGTATGGGGCCAGCCTGAGCTATCTACAACCTTCAGGATAGCACTGGGGCTACTTACATCATAGGGATAAATTCTTGGCTGTTATGTTCTTAACTTTGTGGTTGCTCTGACCAAATTCCTAAACTTAAGGGACAGAAGATTTGTTTTGACAGAGAGTCCCAGAGTGGCCAGTCTAAGTTGCTTGGCCTCTTGTGTTTCAACAGAACATTATGGTGGCAGCAGTGTGTGGTGGGGAATTTCTTTAACTCATTGCAGAGAAGAAGCAGAGAAACCATGACAAGATATAGTTTTCAATGACATGCCCTGAGTAATGTACTTCTCCTCCAACTAGCCTGTACCTCCTAAACTTCCCAGAAACTTTCAAGACAGTGTATCCAGCTAGGAACTGGACATTTAATACACAAGGCAAAGGTGATTTTCATATTCAATCCATAACACCCATGTTAAAAATGGGTGGTTTTATATTCCTATATCTCTTCTTTGCAAAAGCAAGGACTGGAAACAGCTCAGTGTCCATAAAACCAGGAATGAATAAACAAATGCTGGCATATTTATGCAATGGGAAATGATACTGAAGCCAAAATGAGGGAACACAAATGACATATATCAACACAAATAAATCTCAAAAAATGTTAAGTAGGGGGAAAAGGCAAGAGAGGAAATGACATGTATAATACAATTTATATAAAGCTTAGAAATAAGCAAAACAACCCATGTATCATTTGGGAATATAGACATATATGGAACACCCAAATACATATGGCAAACTAGAAACATAAATCAGAATAGTCTTCACTTCTGGGCATGGGGAGGGGTGAGGGAAGGGTGGAAATCCACAGTGGCCTTCAGCAAAGAATGTAACGACCTACTTCAAATTTGCAGAGATGTAGAGCAAATGTGGGGACATGGTACGAATTTCAGTGGCTGGTCACTATTCTTTTGATGTATTTTCCATCTGTTTACAGGAAATCAACCTTCCTTTCATTCTTTGTGTCTTTTTTTCTTCTTTAAGCATGTCTTTTAAGGCCTGGCAAAGATTCAACTTCATCTACCACATAGTAATTATAAGAACCTGGTCTATCAAAATCAAAACCATGGCCTAGCATTTATCTGTTGGGAGGAAAATCTGTTCCCAACATCTGGGGATGTTGGCTACTTTTTCTAGTTCCCAGAGATATATTATATGCATATAAGCCAGACATAATTTTCTAGTGTATTCTATATCTTAAAGAGGTATGACATTCTCCTCCTCTGGCTAGTCACAAGAAAATCCCGCCTTGCTAGCCAGCTGAGGAGATGGGAACCTCACTCTTGCTATTACATGAAGCAGTGTGATCAGGAAAGATAAGAAATGGTGTTATGGGAAGGTAAACAGCCCTCTGATCACCACTA